GATCTTGGGTTTAGGGTTTAGGGATCACTGGTTTAGCCTTTAGGGATGTTGGGTTTAGGGATTAGGGATCTTCAATTTAGGATTTAGGGATCTTGGGTTTAGGGTTTGGGGGGGGCTTCGGTTGTGATGTTGCTTTGTGTTTTTCCATTCTGACATGTGAGTTGCGGTGTGTGTGTGTATATATATATGTATGTTTGTTTGTTTTATGTGGTGTACGTGGAGAGTATTTAGGAGGCTTTAGGTCTTCGTGTGTGTCGGGAGGGAGACCGGTGCCGGCTAGGGCATTAGGAGGGATTCAGGTTTTGGGGTTTGTTGCCATATGAACCTTGTAATGACCTCCACGTTTGATCGCGTAGCCCATCATTTATGCCTTTTTGTTTCAGCCTGACTGTGAAACTGTAGCTAGTGGTAGTAGTCCGGTCGTCGTAGTCGTCGTACATGTAGTAGTGTCATAGCTACAGTCGCAGCAGCAGCAGCAGCAGCAGCAGCTGCTGCTGCTGCTGCTGCTGCTTTTTTCGCGGTAGTAGTTTTTCTTGCCTGTCTCCTGTTGCTGCTGCTGCTGCTCTCAGACTGCTTCTATCTGCTTCTAGCATTTCCACGGCGTTACGTTCATTTCCCGACAGGCGATGAATTCTTCGGTGTGCCGATTGCCCGGAAAGACCAGTAGATATATGTGTACCATCCATCTGCTTACACGCCAGGCAGTCTGCGTGCAAACAAAACCCTCACGCCCTAAACCCTCGGGCCCCCAGAACTCCGGTTCCCCGCTGCTTGCTCGTTTCACGCAGGCAAGGGCCGTGGCTGAGGCCACCGAGGCGCGTCGCGCTCTGGCAGATGCAGCGCGGCCGAGATCAGAATGTGTCGCTACTGATCCCTACGGCCAAATAATTCGGATAGTAACCCGTTACTTACAGGTAGCTGGAATTTCTGGGGATACTGATGTGGAGTGTTCCGAATCGGGTGTGCCTTTCACATCATGTGAAGAGGCAATAGTTTTCAATAGTTGCACACAGCCGGACCTGAATGGGACCATACTCCAGTAATTCAGAACGGCCTCCCCTATTCCGCGACCTCGGGAACCTCCTTGGACAAGTAGTTCCTTCGAAGCTGTGATGGTTACTTGAAGCCCGACCGTCATGACTGCGGTGTTGTTGTCGACCTCTATTGTGGCGTGGCTTATGAGGATCAGTGAAGCTTTACCTGCGCACCCTAGACCCCGGCATAAACCCTAAACTGAAGCAGCAGGCACCAAACCTGACTTTTAACAAGTATGCCGACAGCTGGCTGCCTTGCTAGCTCGATGGACATGTGAATGTATACGTGGGCAGACAGATAGTCTACACATGCACGCTCGAGACAAAGTCGTGAAGGTCGTATAGGCTGATGCACAGGAATTCCATTTTAAGTGTTGGACCCCGTGTATAGACCCCCTTAAAGCGCACCAACCTGAAATATGGTACCTCCAATTCAAGAAATCATCTCTCGGAAGGTAGGTGTTGGAGCAAGCAACTGCTAACCCCACACCTCACATCCTATACCCCCCCTACACTTTTAAGCCATTTCTCAACCCGCCTAACACTTCAACCAATAAATCCCTCAAAACACAAGGCACCTCCCAACAATCAACACAACAATCCCGAACCAAAGCAACCTACCAACCAATACAATCATCCAGAACACAACCCAAAACCNNCCCCCCCCCCCCCCCCTACCTTGCATCCCATTTCTCAAACCGCCTACTAAATCAACCCTTCAACCCCGCAATACACAAGCACCTCCCAACATCCTCAACAAATCCCATAGCACAATCCAAAACACAAAGCACATCCCAAAACCCAAGCCAAGATCCAAAACACAATCGCAAATTCGAAAGCAACCCGTACCTAATGGGAAATATTTAGAACTTGTTAAAACCTTTGCTATGGGCTGGCTACATCGCCTGCTTCTTCAATGATGTGGCGTGCCTTCCACGCTTGACGCGGGTTTTGCGACAAGTTTCGGAACGGCAATCGCTGGCTGCGGCATGCCTGCTTGTTTGCGATTTCCAGAATGCAATGCCGTTCATCCACGTCCACGTTTTCCACCGTGAGTACCGCAGCTTTCTCGAGCAATAGTAGAAGCAGGTAGAAGACACGACTTTCGTGTCATGTCGCTCCGCAGCATGACGCTGCCCTTTCGGCTGCATCGCCGCCAGTTCTTCACAGCGAACCGGGAAGTGTTGGAGACGCTGAAGAAGTTGGACAGCAAGGTCGACTCACTGGAGAAGAGGTTCGATGGCTTGGAGAAAAAGGTCGATGGCCTCGTGTCAAAGTGGGATGCCTTCCTCGCTGAGTACAGATGCTCGGTGCTTGCCTCTTAATCTCGTTTCTCGAAGCAAAAGACGTCAAAACGCTAAAGGTTTCAGTGTGCCCATCAAGCATCAAGGAAAAGAGTGGAGGACAGCCACCATCGCGTGGAGCTCCATCAAAGCACTGGGTGGCGGTGTCGTGGCTCTCGTCGCAGGGCTTGCTAGCATTGTCAAGCTTCAAGAGGCTTTTGACAAGGCAGGCCTAGATCGAACCAGTTGCTGTTGTTCCTGATGATGTAGTTGTCATCTTTTGTTTCGACGTCTCTTTTGGCGCCAACTGCCCCTGCAGGCGAATAGGAACGCCGGCGCTGAGTGACACGGCCTCTTTTGTCTCACATCTCGAGCCTCCAGAGTAGCATCTCCCCTTTTTCGTACGCGTGGTCAGAGCACCGAAGTCCGGGACATGGGGGCGCAAAAGAGAGAACTGAACTTTGGGTGTAGATGTTTGCATTCGCGGAGCTTTCTTAAGCCCTCACACTTCGAAGCTTCATCACCTCCGGACTTGCGTGAGTTCCAGACGCCGCGAGTCCCTTCCTAAACCCTAAACCCTAACTTTTGGTTTTTCTGGGCTTAGGTAGACTTGGGGATCTCAGGGCGCGTTTTGGTTTCAGTTAAGGGTTTGAGGAGTTGGGTTGAGAGCCACCGGCTCTTCCTGTCCTTGAAACGCTGGCTGATTAGTCGGCTCTTCCTATCATTCAGACGCTGTGGAGCTTGGCTGGGCAGAGCTTTTAGGTTTTAGGCATAGTGTTTAGTTTTAGTTTAGGAGGGTTTTACGGCTTCTTTTTTGCCCTTTTTGTTTGTGCGTTTTTTTGTGGGGAAACCCTCAAAACACTACAAATATGTTTACATTTCCATAAACCACAAAAATGGAACACATAGAATCAGGATTAGAGTATAAGAGTAAATAGTTTTTCAGACACTCTAAGGAAAATTCCGAAAAGAATAAATTTTTCAACACTTAATACAAGCCATATAGCCAAACATATTACGGAAGAAAGAACAACCAAGAAAACAGCGAAACGACAAACAAGGCACTCTAAAATCAGGAATAGACTATGAAAATAACGACTTTGTTTAGACCTTTAGCAATTCGTGGCGTAAATAACCCCTATTATCATTGTCGCGAGCCTGCGAGCCTCGCGAGGCATCTGCTGACGCGTCCAAGTAGTAATAATTTTGACTTAACTTTTTATCTATTCGCTTTACTGTTTGGGGGAGTCTTAACCCAGTGACTGGTGCGTTCTTTTTCACTAATGCCTTTTTTACGCATTATTTTAACACTATTCCCCACTTCTATTTCGGGGTATGTTCTATTGCGTTTTGCCTGTAAAGATATATTCAATTTTACTTCAAACTCATTTTTCTTTTTGCGCGCTTCTAATGGGGTCATTTTAGTAGTGGATGAAACCATTTTATTATTATATGTTAATAATATCTCCAAATTATAATCTATCCACTGGATATTTTGCTTACCTTTGTTCTCATCTGCTTCAACTCGCTTGAATAACATATCTTTGTAGGTTCTTATAAAACGCTCTGCGAATGCTGGGTGTCCTCTCGTTCTATGTATCTCAATTTTCTCACCTTCTAAATATTCTATAACGGTTTTACTACATTACTACACAAACTCCCTTCTTCATCACTGTAAAACAT